AAATTGAATTAAAAAAAATATTCAATTTCCTTGTGAAATTCTTATGGCGGGTAGTAGCGTACTTTTCAAGGTACTCGTACTTCACATTTCTAAGAGTGATCACGGGCAAATTTGGGTTAAAAAGCAAAACAAAGAATTCCACATTTCGTAGTTCGACGGAGAATCTATGAAATGGAAAATAATCTTTCAAAAACGGTACAAGATCAAAGCACGCAGTAAAGCGCTCTTTGCACCATAGGTAATTCGATCAGTTTTTGTGGCCAAAAGGCAGTTTTCGTACTTGCAAAAATAAACTTTTTGTTCTTCGTATTTGATAATGAAAACTTCATCCTGCCGGATATTCCACCTATAGACTTGTATGTTAAAAGTATCGCAGCTAAAAGCGCTCTACGACTCAGTGCGTCTAACAGGCTGCGAACAACTTGCAAAGGTCACGCCAAAATCCTCGGGATAGTGGGGGATCGAAACTTCGAGCTCCATTTTCCTGACAGAAGTGACTGGGAATTTAATATTGCTGACGAAATACCCATCTTCACGGACGGCTCCAAAATGGATATCGGAACAGGATCTGGTGTCTTCTCTCAGGAGTTATCTCTGAGAAAGTCCTACAGACTCCCAGATCACTGCAGTGTTTTTCCGGCTGAGATATATGCAATCCATATGGCGGCAAGGTTGGTGGGCATGATTGACTTAGCTCCATCTAAACTTGCCTTCGTTGTTGACAGTCAGACGGCTATCAAAGCCTTAGGGTCGGCAGCGACTAAAATTGGTCAAACTAGAATTTACTTCTCAAAATAATCAAGAGCCTTAATTTTCCAACGGATTAGACATTTTTTAACGAAATCTAATACGATTTTGAAGACATTTATCGAGCTTTATTTTTTAATTTTTATTGATATATATTAAATTTTTAGATGCAAAATGCTGAGAAAGTAAAGACTTTGATGAAAATCGATTCTCCTGTTACTGTAAATAATTATTTCTTAATAAAAACTAGTTGAAAATAATTATAGGATTCCCCAAAACGAAAAAAATGCAAAAGTACAAGTTTAAATTAAAAAATTTCATAAGAATTTAAAATTTCTTTCCGAATTAAAAAAAAAACGCTATCTTCTTCTTCATTGGCACTGTAACCACCTAGGCGATCACTGGCCAAGTACAACGAAGCACCTTTTATATCCCCAATTGTGAGCAAGGCCTGAAAAAACCTCATCTAAACCTACCTACCTACCAAGAGAAAAAAATTATATTGAGGATAGCACACCGCCGAAACAGGTATGTCTTCAAACCAAAGTTGACAAGGCACGAATGATATTCGTTCCAAAATAATAAAGAAAACTCGGCTACCTTTAGCATAAATAATCCAATAATGGAGATAAATTGAAATGCTAGAGATAAAACTTTAATAGTTAAATGAGGAGAACAGAAACTGGGTACGAACCAAGGCACTTCTTATGAGTATGCGGTAAGCTCTATACCGAGAGCCCTCTCAGTTTAAGGCGGCAGTCGCTAGCCACTTCATTGGGAGCCTCTTTCTTCATTCTTTTTTTCCATAAAATATAAAAGTAATTAAATTGAGCATCGTTCAAGTCCATGTTTTATTTATGTACATTTGCTAACTTATTTCTAATGCGTTCAGTCCAGTCTTCTTCAGCCCCATTCCATTTATTTGCGAAGCAAGTAGGCGGCGTTGTATGGATACGCAGAGTAGGCAGCGTATGGTGAAGCATAGGCCGCATAAGGAGCGGCGGCGTAAGCAGCATAGGGAGCGGCATAGGCGGCAGCGTAGGGCGAGGCGACCAATGGGGCAGAGTAGGCCAATGGTGCGGCGAAGACGCTGGGTTTAGGTTCGGCAGCAGCGAAGGCGAAGAGGGCCACAAAAACGAGAGCGAACTGTGGGTGGAAAAAAAAACATTTTGTTAAGAATTTTACTTAAAAATGAATTGAAGAATAACAATTATATACTTACGTATTTGAACATTTTGAACAATTTTTTGTTATTTATTGACTGTTTCGCCGTAGAAGTGCAAAATTGAACTGATACTAAAATGTTGTATTACTCGAGTATTTATATAAATTTCGATGGTCTTCGAAATTTTACAAATGCAAATAAAATAAAAATTATAAATAAGTAAGTTCATTTGTACTTGGACATGCACGCCGAGCTATACCATGTGTATATTTCTTTGCTACGTTCGAACCACGAAAAGTGACAATTTTGGCTAAAGCACGTTTCTATTTGTTTTTATTTTAATCTTGCTTAAATTTAACGCAATTATTTTGGTAGTTACTTAGTATTTGCGTTGCATATTAAACTAACTGTTTACCTTCGTTATTTCATTGTCATTTCAGGGTCGGCGAGTAGGCACAATTTTTCTTAGCTAAAACAACTAACAACTAAATGTTAAGCTCAATTCCTGATAACAATATCATTCGCTATTTATGCACGTATGTATACTTAAAAATGCATTCGTTTGCGAAGTAGTGGTTGCTGTTACCTATACCAACTTAGTGCATGTATGTGCATTAGGGTGGCCCAAAAAAGGCGAAGGCGGAATTTTTATGCTCTCACCGCCTAGGATTGTACTACATATACTGAAAAAATTATACCCCAGTTTTTTTTTATTTTGAAATCAAAAATATTTAAAGGTCCTTTGTATTTTATATGGGGAAAAACAAGTTTTCGTAGAAATCTTGATAATCAATATTTTTTGATCGGAATACTTTGTTTCTTTTCAGGATACCTTCAATAACAATATTCAATTGTTTATTGAACCATTTTCTGTTATTAGCCATTTTTTACAGAATCCCTGAAAACCTCAAAAAAATCCAATGAGGGGCACATAAAAAATCACTAGGATTTAAAAATGGTAAAATGGTAATTTAATATTCCGATTTTACTTTTTCACATGCATTTTGGGACCACCCTAATATGCATACACATATACAGTGACTCAAACAAGTGTTCACATGTTCATTTTTTTAAGTGCACAATGACTTTCAAGCAAAAATATTTTATTATTTTTTGATACAAAAATATTGTTCATGCCAATACCAGATTTTCAAACTTTATACAAAAATTAGAGTAATTCAACAAATTTGTAACAAAATTTTCACTTTTTTTTTCACTTTTTAATCTGAATCTTTAGGACATTTTACAAGTGCAAATTTCAAGCGGCCAAAAACATCACTTTAGTTTTTATTATATATATATTTTTTTTTGCTGACGGATCTTTGCACTTTTCTCCATACGAATTTCTTATGGAATAAAATGCGCAAGACCGTACGCAAAAACAAAATATTAAAAATCAACGCGATTCTTTAGCCTCGTGAAACTTGCACTTTATTCTACAATAATTTTGTTATAGGCTCTAAACCTGCATACAAAAAAATTTTCTAAAAACTCAGATTAACAATTTCGAAATTTTGATGAATTTTTCTAGACTTTGTTTAAAGTTTGAAACTTTTTATATTTTATTTGTACAAAAAAAAACAAAAAACTTAACGTGAAAAGCATTATGCAACATGTGAACACTTGTTGGAGTCACTGTACCCAAAGCCGTACCAGAAAAAAAAGTTTGCCGTACAGCTTTTAATCTAAAGTATTTTTCAAGGCAACTTGAAAAAAAAAATTACCGAACGTAGGGGTCCCTTTTTTAAATCTTCCGTCGTATCTTCGACATTTACGTACGAATCTTAAAGTATGATATATCGATGTTCTTGACTCGAGCAGACAATTTTCCTTATTCTAAAGTTCATTGACCTTAAGTACCCCGTTCGAGTATTTACTCACCAGATCTCAACTCTTATCACCCTAACGTGCCTCCCTAATGTCAGTAAAACAAAGCTCGGCAAAAATCATGAAACTTTTGCATAGAAAGTATTTCAATTCGAAAACAATTTCGATGTATTGAGGAGACAATTTATTTTACTTCCGAAGTTCACTAACTTCAAGCACCTCGCTCTAGTACTTACTTACCACATCTTAGTTCTTGTACCCTAACGTAACACCCTGTTGTCAGTAAATTAAAATCAAAAATCACTAAACTTTTAGTAAAGAAATATTTCGATTATTCCAGTATAACTAGGTATTTTGCAAACATGTCTTAGACTCAGGGGTGTTCGGCGAAGTTTTTGTTTTTGTTTGCTTATAAGGTGGTATGGTTTAATATACAGATGTATATATGTAGGTATGTGCAATCGAAAATATGCGTGTATGTATGCGGGCGTTCATTGAGTGTTTACTCGACAGACAATAAGTTGTGTACGTGTTTAGGTCAATAATGTCATTTACGGCTGCCCACTTGTCCACCTAATTCATTGCCACTATTCCGAACTTACACATAAATATCTACATATATACATATTTAAATGTAGGCACACTCACCAACTAGTATTTAAGCTGATGCCCGAAACCAATTCGTCATCAGTTTAATTTTGCTCTACTGCAGTAAAACCGCAATCAATAACAAAACAATCAAAATGTTCAAATACGTAAGTGAATTAAATTGTTGATATCCTTAGAGTCCTCGCAATTGCACATGTGAATTGTTTAATTTGCTAATAACTGTAATAATACTTTCATAAATTATTATCTTCTTTTCCAATACAGTTCGCTCTCGTTTTCGTTGCCCTCTTCGCCTTTGCTGCTGCTGAGCCCAAGCCCGGTGTCATCGCCGCACCATTGGCCTACTCTGCACCATTGGTCGCCTCGCCCTACGCTGCCGCATATGCTGCTCCCTATGCTGCCTACGCCGCTGCTCCTTATGCCGCTTACGCTTCGCCCTACGCTGCCTACTCTGCGTACTCTGCTTACCCATACGGCGCCGCCTACTTGCTCCGCAAGTAAATGAAGGATGTATGCTTTATTGGCAAAGACTGAAGATGACTAGATATTTGAATAGCCAAATTGTTATAGAAAATTTTAGAAAAAAATAAATAAAAACCGAAGTGAAATCGATAAAACTTATAGTATACTTATGTATGTGTATTTGGTTGTTAGAATCGCACTTAGTGCCGTGATCTCAAGTAGGTTTAAACCAGTCATGCCCAACGTCGGCAGAACTCCATAAGCAAGTGCCCTGCGCTGGCAGAATTCCATATGCAAGTGCCCTGCGCTGGGCATGACTGGTTTAAACAATTTATTCGCCCTAAAAGCAAATTTTTACAGAACAACATTTCGTATTTAAAGGGCAGATAAATTTTAAAACGTACTTAAGACCACGACCCTTAGACTTAGAGTCCTAAAAATTATGTGTAGCTCAAGCCTAGTTATACAAATACGAGAATTGCCAAGTGAACTTCGTGCCACCTTATATTGATTTCATTATAAATCTTCATAAGCGATAATGAATTCCAATCAACCTTCTAAATAAAATTCATTAAGATCGGCAATATTCATGACAGGAAAAGCTTTCGTACTACATGAGAATAATTTCCAAGAGAAAGGGAATTTACTCTCATCCTCACTTTAATCGTAGGGTAAGTAACAGGTTTAGAACTTTACTACGATCGTAGTAGATTTACTACGGTTTTAGAGAAAATTTTTAATTTACTCCGCTACTTCGCTTTAGCTACGATCTGCTACGTTTTTAATTCCAAAATAATAAAGTACGCCTTTTGCAGTATCTAAACTAAAAAAAAGAAAAACATAAAATAGAATTGTTTTTCTTTTTAATACCAACACGAATTGATGAATTCAGGTAATTTTTAAGGTATCTATATAAATAATATTAGACTAATTTGTATTTTTATGTAGCAAATACTATATCTAAACATAAATATGCCTCTTATAAGTATTCTGTCTGGGAAATGGCATAACTTTCGTAATTTCTCCACGATAATAATAGTTGAAACGGTATTTTAAAGATAGTTTTATCCACTCTTTCGCTAAAATATGCAACACTTGCTTGAAATATTAGATAATAACTCTGTCATTCAAAATCTACTTGGTTCCTTACTTTGGCTAAAGAGAGATTGCAGTGTCTAAGGTTTATAGGGTAAAGGTCCAGGGAAACAATTGGAGGATAGCGTAACGCATTTTCCGGCGAATATAAACTAAGGATCGGCAGCCATTTTACATACTTAACTAAAAAAAAATTTCTCTTTGGATTATGACGTTCTCCAGTAAACGAGCGACCTATAAAAAATCTGCTACGATTTTTCATGTCATTTACTCCGATTTAAGCTTGCCGTAGTTCTAACCCTGGTAAGTAACCACTTCCATTTCAAAATAGACGATGAGTGTGATAATGAATTCTTATTCTAATGAGAGTTATTCTCAACGTTTACGAAAACCCGAATAGAGGTTAAACTTCAAAGACTTTATTGTAAAATTTGTTTTTCCTTTTATTCTCTGGTGCGTAACCAAACAAAGATGGTCATTTGATGTTAAATGTAAGTTCATACTGCAAAATTCCACCGACTGGCCTTACAAATTAATGGGGGTCGTCGCGAAGGTCCTACACAAGCGGATTTAGAGATGGTCACGGGACTAACCCGACATTGAATTTTTAGATTTGTACCGCGGAACCCGTTGGTCCCGATATCTATCACTAACTAAAATTCACATGGATTTCGAGTACTCTATTTTCGTCATACTGACTGACCTAGCATTGTCTCGTTATTCTATTTTGTTTTGCCGTTGTTTTGCCAAGTGCTTTGTTGCTTCGTCAGGTGTTCCTCAGGGAAGCATCCTAGGCCCTCTTTTATTTATTCGGTTTATTAATGATATCGGCGCTTGTTTCCAACATTGCAGATATCTTCTTTACGCCGATGATCTCAAATTTTTTCGTAAAATAACTTGTCCGTCCGATGTCTTCTATTTGCCACATAATTTGAATAATTTAATCAGTTGGAGTCTAACGAATAAGTTATCCCTCAATATAAAAAAATGTTTTCATATGTCAATTTCTAGATCCCCTTGTAAATTTTGTAAAGGCGTATAGTAACTTAGCTTTTTTACGATGATATGCGAGGGACTTTGAG